AAAATCAAAGCATCCCCGACAGATGGCCATCCAGCCTCTGTTTCAAGAGCTCCAAAGAAGGAGACTCCACCGCTCTCCAAGGGAGTGTGATCTACTGTCGAACAGCTCTCACTGTTGGGAAGTTCCTCCTAATGTTGAGCTGGAATCTCTTTTCCAGTGGCTTGCATCCATTGTTCTGGGTCCTGTTCTCTGTAGCAGCAGAAAACAAGCTTGCTCCATCCTCAGTAGGACATGTCTTTAAATATGGCTCTCATATCCCCTCTTAACCATCTCTTCTGCAGGCTAAACATATCCAGTTCCCTAAGTCGTTCCTCATAGGGATTCATGGTTTCCAGACCCTTCACCATTTTAGTTGCCCTTCTCTGGACACGCTCCAGTTTCTCCACATCCTTTTTGAATGGTGGTGCCCAGAACTGGACACAGTCTTTTTGCAGGTGGGGCCTGACCAAAGCAGAATACAGTGGCACTATTACTTTCCTTGATCTAGACGCTATACTTCTATTGATGCAGCCTAAAATCGCCATAAAAGCCAGACTCGTCCACGATGCAGTTCTGCAGAGCCCAGCTTTTTCGTTTTTCAGACACACACACACAGGGAGCGAAAGTGAAATGTGTTGTACTTCAAGCCAACTGGTCGTGTGAATCAGGCGAGGGTAATTATGTGATGCCACCGCTGCCATGGAAAAAGGAAATTTCTGGCGCTTGGAGCATTTCCCAGCTCCCCACTCCTTCCTTCTTCTAAACAGCAGCTTGAGTTCTATAAAAAAGCTCTATTTTTAACTGTTCTGATGATGCGTTGTCAGGAAAGACAGTTTTGCTGGCGCTTGGGCTTTCTGTTCTTTCCGATCCCATCAACACTTTTTCATGCGTCTCTTAGAAAATCCGGTTTGTGGGAGATGTTTTCCCATATGCTGGGAATAATCCTCCTAATAGCAAACCCAGGTGGTGCAGGCTGATGGAAGAGGAATGGTGAAAGGCCAAGAATATTATATATATGTGTGTGTGTGTGTGTGTGTGTGTGTGTGTGTATGAGAGAGAGAGAAAGGAAGGCAGTGGCATGCTTAGAGAAATGTCAAAATTTGCCGAAGGTGCAAAAAGTACAAAAAGCAAAAGCCTGACCCCACCAAAGCCCAACGGTCACAGAGCCTGCTCCGTCATTATGCTTGAAATATCTGAACATATTTGAAAGGCTGTCATATGGAAGAGGGAGCAAGCTTGTTTTCTGCTGCTCCAGAGACGAGGAGCAAAGGATTCAAGTTACAGGAAAAGAGATTCCACCTGAACTTTAGGAAGAAAGTCTTGAGGGTAAGAGCTATTCAGCTATGGAAGATGCTGCCTTAGAGTGTGGTGGAGTCTCCTTCTTTGGAGGCCTTTAAACAGAGGTTGGATGGCCATTTGTCGGGAGGGCTTTGATGGGGTATTCCTGCATGGCAGAATGAGGTTAGACTAGATGACCCTTAGGGTCTCTTCCAACTCTAGGATTCTATGAACACCAGCCTCCTGGGACAAGAAAACATTTCTGGCTCCCCTTCACCATCAACCTACAGAATCCACAGCAGAGATCTGCTGGTAGAATTTTATGCTCCATCAAGTTCAAAAAGGATCTTGTGCTCTGTTAACAATGCTTCAAGGTGCAACAGCGCTCTTTGTAGTTTCAGCACAACAGAACAACATAGGCAGACCCTTGGAAACAGGGCTAATGGCTTTACAACTCTGAAGATAAATCAGAGGGATAAAGGGCCG